GCCTTTCCCCCCTTACGTTTTCCCACAAAATACAGTCACACCACTTTACAGTATATTCTGCAAATAGTTTGGCCAGGACCCGAGGAGAATACTTGCTTGGAATCTATTCCCCTATCATGTCACTTATTTCCACCACAAATCATTTCATACATAAATTAGAACCTTAAATAAAATATTAGCTTATTAATTTATTATTTAGAAGCATTGAGAAGATTACATTCTGCCTAATCAGTTTATCTTGCCATGGCAGAAAACACTTTACGTGTTCAAATCCAATATTCTCTGACAGCCAGTGCTTGACTGTGCTTGACCTGGAGTTCATTACTAAATGATCATTAAGAACGCAGAGAATGCAGTGACTGCCATTCTCTGAGAATGCGACGCTCCCACCAGAACTGCACTGGAGTGTCAAACCTATAATCTTCGGACTCACAAGCAACTGAGCCAGGCTGACAGTCACTTAACTTATGTCAACCAGTGTGATGTGTTGGTTCAGTTGGTAGCATTTCCTACCTTCTGGGTGAATTCAAGCCCTGGAACAGAGCCAGAGCTCATCACCCAAGATGACCTTCCAATGAAGTGCTGCCTTTTGGAGGGAACCTTAGAATCTCGCTACTATCCGCTATCCAGGTGGATGTTAAAGATCCCATGACACTGTAGGGAAACGTTACTTAATGATGAAATAATGTGTACGCAATTCCAATATTAATCAGTTGTTTCCTTTAGTTATAGTTCCACAATCAATGATTATACAAAGAGCAAAGACCCATTACACAATAATGGGAGCAACTGGGTTATCACAGAGCTTAAGTATTGATCAGTATTACCTATCCCTGGGAGTACAGCGGGTAGATGAGGATTGTCAGATCTGCATCTCACCAATACTGGGTAAAACACTCTAAATCATACCCCAAATCTGAATGACATTTGCACATGTGTTTAGCAATGTTCCCACCACAAGAATGCTTCCGACCTTCAGACAAGTGGGGATAACCCACATTTCTGTTCCAGTTCTGTTCCTTGTACCATAACAAGAGAGCAAGTGATACATCGCCACCAGATGTTACTTTTAGTGTTTTATTTTGACTCACTTTCACACTCGGTTGGCAATAACTCTTTCCTTACAACACTATTCGACGGAATAGATAGAGATAAGGGAGTTTCTCTCGGGATCCTGGCCAAATCATCCCATTAGAGGAAACATAGGTGTGCTGGGACAAATGTTTTTTTCTCTCTCTCTCCACTGAGGTGGTGAGGTGGGGTGGGGGGGTGGGGTGGGGAGAGGAGGAGGCGGGGGAAAGATAATAATAATCCTTGCATTTTATATAGCGCTTTTCATGACTTCTAGACATCTCAAAGCGCTTCACAGAATATACTGTAAAGTGAATTGACCGTATATTTGTGGGCAAAATGTGGCAGCCAATTGCGCACAGCAATGTCCCACAAACAGTCGTGGATTGAGTGACCAAATTATTATTGTTTTATTTGATGAAGGGATTATTACCCCCAGAAAAACGATCCGCCAATCAACTAAGAATTGGGTTCCTACTGACTGGTGGGTAAACAGAGGTGTGTGGAGTAAGGAAACCTAAGCTTTTGCCCTGTCCGGGGAACTGACCCAGGTCTTCTCGCTTGCAAGGCGAGTGCTCTAACCACTGAGCTACAGGCCTTCATATACCGGTTAACCACACGTCCTCTTGTTCACACCAGGACTCAGATGTGGAAGTGAACTCAGACTACGACGTGAGGCTGTGCTATAAAAAGGGATGCGATTTCACTCGAGCAGCACGAGGTGGAGATGTTGAATGTAAGCGAGTACATAGATAGTAAGAGAGAGAGGCACACAGACACACCACGGGGCTGCTTCACAAGCCCATGAGCCTGAAATGGGTTTCTCTATCGGACAGTACCTCGGCAGAGAGAGTTCCTGCAGTGGTCCTTGAGGAAGGAACAGTTTTTGCCCTCGTATTCCTCTGGGCAAGCGCAGTAGTAATCCCTTTCAAGGACATAGCACTTGGCACCATTCTGGCAAGGGCTGGGAGCACAGTAATTAATCGGCGGTCAATACAATAAATCCTACGGCAGGTTTTCAAAGTGGGGAGAGGTGGGGAACAGGACGAGGCGGAGGCATTTCGGGGTGGACTTCCAGACTTCCTTTCTCCTTGAATTCCATTTACGCAACGCAGAATGCAGCGATTTTATACAGAAACATTTTGAGCAGCGGATGGGCTGGGGGGAGGGGGGCTGTAGGTGTGGGTGGGGGGGGGGGGGGAAGAGGTACAAGACTATGTGATATAAATCGGTATAAACCTATCATTTTTTTTCAGAATCCCAAACTGTAAAGTAACAGTTATTGAGAAATAAAGTGATGGTGAAAGGCAGTCACATACACAGGGAGAGGGAGGGGGTGATGCGGGGGGGTGGGGGGTGATGCGGGGGGGGGGATGGGGGGGGGTGATGCGGGGGGGGGGGGGGGTGATGCGGGGGGGGGGGGGGGTGATGCGGGCGGGGGGGCTGATGCGGGCGGGGGGGTGGGGTGATGCGGGGTGGGGTGATGCGGGGGGTGATGCGGGGGGGGGGGGATGATGCGGGCGGGGGGGGTGATGCGGGGGGGGGGGGTGATGGGGGGGGGGTTAGGGGGAGGGTTGGGCTGGGGTCTGGGTCTGGTTCTCTGGTTGGATTGCAGACTGCGAGGGACCCTTTGTGGGGCTGGGGGGGGGGGGGGGTTACTGTTGGTAGTGGTGGGGGGGGGGAGAAGATTCCTCTTGATGGGGCTCTGATTTGTTTTTGCGTGTGTGTGGTGGGGGGGGGGGGGAGGTGTTGTGTGGGGGGGGTGTTGGTGTGTGGGTGTGTGTGTGGGGGGGGGAGGTGTTGGTGTGGGGGGGAGGTGTTGGTGTGGGGTGTGTGGGTGTGTGTGGGGGTGGGGTGTGTGGGTGTGTGAGGGTGTGTGGGGGTGTGTGTGAGGTGTGTGTGGGGGGGGGTGGGGGGTGGGGTGTGTGGGGTGTGTGTGTGGTGGTGTGTGTGTGTGTGTGGGGTGTGTGAGTGGGTGTGTGTGGGTGTGAGGGGTGTGTGTGGGGTGTTGTGTGTGTGTGTGTGTATGGTCAGGGGGTGGAGGGTGTGTGTGTGTGTGGGGGTGTGTGTGGGGTGTGTGTGTGTGGGTGTGTGTGTGTGGGTGTGTGAGGGAGGTGTGTGTGGGGGTGGGGTGGAGGGTGTGTGTGTGAGGGTGTGTGTGTGGTGTGTGAGGGGTGTGGTGGGTGTGTGGTGTGAGGGGTGTGGTGGGTGTGTGGTGGGTGTGTGGTGTGTGTGGGTGTGGGCGCGTGTGTGTGTGTGAGGGTGTGTGTGTGGGGGTGGAGGGGTGTGTGGGGTGGGGGGTGGTGTGAGGGTGTGTGTGTGTGGGTGTGTGAGGGGTGTGTGGGTGTGAAGGGTGTGTGGTGTGTGTGAGGGGTGTGTGTGGGGGGGGGTGGAGGGTGTGTGTGTGGGGGGTGTGGGGTGTGTGGGTGTGTGAGGGTGTGTGTGTGTGTGTGGAGGGGTGTGGGTGGGGTGTGGGTGTGAGGGGTGTGGGTGTTGTGAGGTGTGT